AAATATCTTTTTATATTTTTCCTACTTTTCTCATTTTTATGAATCACCTGTGCATGTTTTCTATTGGCAAGTTTATCACCACCTGGTTGATACGTTAAGAAAAGATATTTTGGGCTGAGGATATGGCTCAAGCGGTAGCGCGCTGGCCTGGCATGCGTGAGGCCTGGGTTCGATCCTCAGCACCACATACAAACAAAGATGTGTGTCCGCCGAAAACTAAAAAATAAATATTAAAAAATTCTCTCTCTCTCTCTCTTTAAAAAAAAAGAAAAGATATTTGTCATTGGGTGTGTTAAGTCTGCCTGTTATATGCACTATGATTATTTCACCTCTTTGCTTATTGACTTTAACTATGGTTTTAAAATACTCATGAATCAGGTCTATCAGTATTTTCAACATTGATTTTGACTTTTGCATGGGCTGTAAAAAGGCTTCTCCACATTAAGAATTTTTTAAGTTAGTATTTTCCTCTGGTTCTCTCATAGTTTTATTCATATTATTTAAGCAATTTAGAATTAGCTGTGATATAAAAGTGAAGTAGGGTTTCTACTAGTCACCTGTGTTCTCTTGTTGACTTAAAATTCTGTAGATCAATTAAAAGAAAAAAAATCATGGAGTTAGGCTTCGTAGGTCCAAGTTCTGTTCTCATTGCTTACAAACTAGCTAAACATGTTTTCCCATATGTAAAATAGGACTAATGGCATCCATCTCTTGGAACTGTTTTCAGGACTTACACGTCAGTACATGTAAGAGCTTAGAATAATACATTGCACATGATAAGAACTTACTAAACGGTAGCTATCATTGGACACCAAATTCACACGTGGAACTATTTCTAGTCTTTAGTCTGTTGCACTCACTAGAGTCTAGAAATTCATAGGGCAGGACCAGTCCTAGCTTTATGACATATGTGTGGACAAGTTCTTTTAATTTTTCAGGATTTTCTTCATTCTCCTAGCATGTTTATTCTTCTAGATCTTTCCTTCACTTGCCATTTTGTCACTTCCTAACAAGCCCATTGAGATTTTGATTGTCGTTTTAGAGAACAGATCCTATTAGGAAAATCTGACTTCATGATTTTTAACTTTACTTTCCATTAAATAGTATGTTTTTCTGTTTATTCAAATATTAATAATTTAAACATTAATAAAGATTTAAGGTTTTATTCAATAGGTCATTCCTTGATACTGATTTTTTTTAATCTTTCTAAAATTAATTCATTGTGGCAAAATACATGTGACATAAAATTACTATTTTAACCATTTTTTTAAAGTATACAATTCAGTGGCATTTTTCACAATGTTGTGCATCCATCACCAGCACCCACCTCCAAAACTTTTTCATCTTCCTAAACTGAAACTTTGTATCCATTCAATACCAGTACTCCAAATTGCCCCAACTCCTAGACCCTGGTAATCACCATATTCATTTTTGTCTCTATGAATTTGAATAATATGGTTACCCTATATAAGAGGAACAATACAGTATGTTATTTTAAAACTGGCTCTTTCACTAGCATGATTCTTCCAGGTTCATTCATGTTGTAGCATGTGTCAGAATTTTCTTCCTTTTGAGGCTGATTATTTATTCCATTGTATGCATACCCTGATTTTGTTTATCTATTCATTACTCGGTGAGCACTTGTGCTGCTTCCACATTTTCGATATTGTGAAAGAGGTTTCTATAAATGCAGTTGGACAAATGTATTTGAACTGCTATTTAATTATTTTGTATATATACCCAGAAGAGGAATTGCTGAATTATATGGTAAGTCTTGTTTGAGGAATCACCATCCTGTTTTCCAAAGCAACTGCACCATTTTATATTCTCAAAAGAGACACACAATTGGATTCTATTTTTTCCACATTCTTGCCAAGGCTTTTCATTTTCTGTGTTTTGATAATGATCATCCCAATGAATACGAAGTAGATACTGAGTATTCTGAGCTAAATCTTGAAAGACAAATAGGAATAAACCAGACAAAGGAGAAAAATAATTTAGTAGTGTCTCTTTAGCTGCCAGTAGTCATAGTTATGTTTGGAACATTCCTTGTTTTAGAAATAATGTTTTTCAGCCAATCCACATGAGATACAAGGAGTGAACTAAACTAGGGGAAAAAATATGGTCTTTTTTTTTTTTTTGCAAAGAAGTTGAGTAGGGCCAGCAGCCAATGCCAGAAATATTTATACAGCTGTTGCCTGAATTAGTCCAAAGAAATTTCTGGTGATTGTTTATAATATGCATATCTAGTTTGTTATGAGCCTATTGACTTAAAAAAAAAATCCCAAGTCCAATATGTTTTCAGTCCATGTATAAGAACCAAAGAAGTCGAATGTGGATTTGTGGCTGATTTGAACTGAGCAAGTTTAAGTAATTCCAGTTTCCTTCATTTGCCATTTAATCCTTTTTTCAACCCATCCCACCTCAACTTCAGAACTGTGGCCTTGGAGTACCATTGCTTGGGTTTAGTTTCCTGCCCAGGTGCTCATATTCTGTGCCCTTTCCAAGCTAACACTAAACAGAGCCTTCTTCCTCAAATGTCAAGTAATGAATAGCTGGATTTAGTCAATCTGTGCTTAGCTAGTGGAAAAATTACCATCAATATACTTCTTTCTCCTCACCGAATGGACCTCAAGGCACTTTTAATCCAGAGTTCTTCAGAGTGTTAGAGATTCATGGTTTTTATTATTATTTTTTATCACTACTTTCTACTACCTAGGAGAATACAATTGCACCCGTTCCTCTTCCAAGCCCTCTAGAAAACTTATGTGTATTTGGGAAAAGGGACTCATTCCACTTTCAGGGAAGACAACAACTTATAACCAGCTGTAAAAATAGTAATGAAGTTATTGCTTTTTCTCTGTCCTACTAGCCAATTTGATTAGATTTCCTGGATATAGCTAGAAAGACAACGCTCATCTGGTATCATCCTCATTTATTTAAAATGTTTGCACTTCCTCAACTTCAAAAAACTGGCATTTCCAGTAAAAAGTTTCTTATGTTATTCAACATAGCCTTATAGGAGATATAGGAAGAATTCTAAAAGGAAAGTAGAATGCAATGAAAAGAAATTACTATGCAAAAAAAAAAAGAGAGAAAAGAAAAATAAAAAGAGCTCTAAAATAAGATTGTGGCAATGGTTGCAACTCTGTGGATATGCTGAAAGTCATCAAACTATACAATGTAAATGGGTGAAATGTTTGGTATATAAATTATGTTTCAACAAAACTGCTTTTAAGAAGCCACAGAAATCCAAATAACTTAATGAGAGCAGGGGCATCCTTGTTAGCTAAATTTGACAGAGTAACTGAATGCTATGAAGAAATCCTAAAATATCTTGAGTGATACCTTTGGAAGTTTATGTATTATATTACTTGTTGTTCATAGTAAGTTTATGAGAAAGGAAACATTTTCATCGTTTTTCCCCAAAAGTCTAACCCACATTTATTTGCACTTGTATAATAATAGGCAACAAATACTCAAGTTCACACACATTTATAAAAAAGCAAAGTTAATAATCACTTAGCACACTGTGTGTTATCTTGCTTACATATTCAAGTCTAAATAAACTTCCTTCAAGTTGTAAACTTTCACATAATACTTCCTTAAACAAAAATTCTTGAAAACACATATTGTCATGTTTCATTTAGAACCAACACAAAAGTTTAAATTACAAACTAAAAACCAAGTTGAGAAGGTACTTGTACCTCCCTTCACTAGACAGAAGTGATCATTTTAACAGATTATTATCACACAAGTAACAATAAAGACAAAAGAATGATGCTCCTATAATCATGAAGAAAACACCTAGCAAATCATACTGTTTGAAGTTATCTACCAGCCATATGGTTTAAATGAGAAACAGGACAATGCTTAGATTGAAACAAAGGAGATTAGAAAATAGTAAATGATTCTGAAGAACAAACTATTCCTCCCCCAAAGCTTCAAAGATTCAACTCTGAGAACTCAAAGTAATTGTCTAAGGCAAATAAAAGTGAGGAACACTTCAAAAACATTGTAATCATGTTCAGTATCTAGTGATAAAAGCTGAAAATGATACCACGAGGATATTTATCATATAAATATCAATGCGGACATCCCAAAATAATGAAAGAAATGGACATTTATTTCTGCAAAAGCAATGTGTGATACAGAATTAGAAGGAAACAGAATTAAAGATTTACCTATTAAAATGCACAGAGTATAGGATATTTTTAAAGATGATAATATTGGTGATCCTGCAATCTGTACACGTGGGAAAAATAAGAATTCATACCCCATTTGAATCAAATGTATGATATATGATATGTCAAGATCATTGTAATATTTTGAGCAACTAATAAAAAAAATAAAATAAAGAAAAAAGATGATAATATTATACATAATATTAAAAAATATATATTTAATAATATTATATGTTATAATGGTTATGTAATTATTACATATTTGGAAGCTACCATAATTTTGATAAATAACTCTTACAAAATATGCAAAAAGTACAAGAATGTCTGGAAAACAATATTTTCCACCTATAGGACTCTGCTTGATAAAAAATTCATCTTTATTTTCACAGATGAGAATTTGATGCTGGAAGGGTTACATACCTCTGAGAGGCTGTGCAGCTGGTAGGGGGTGGACCTGTGACCTTGTATAGTCATCTGAGCTATGGAGGCAGATGACCTAGGCATCTGCCTCCATAGCTCTGCCTCTGAAACCCTAAGCTAATCTGAGCACCCAGAACTGGCTTTGTTTTGACTACCCTTCATGGAAAATAGCAATTACCCAGAATGTCAGTATCATCTCCAAAGAACCGAAAAAGTCCTTTCATCTAGTGGTGGCTTCAATTTATGCAGTAGTTTCTACAAAAGAGTTCTTTACATATAATACATTTTCAATAATCACTAATTTAATAGACATTTTCTGAAAATGATGTCTATCAATTCCCATTCCCCTTGCCCCTTTTCTTCCCCTCTCCCCTCCCCCATTCTCCTTCCTCTATTCTATTGATCTCCCTAGCATTCTTTTATTTATTTATTTATTTTGGTTGGTACTTTCTGTATACACATAAGATGAAATTTCATTTTCCTTATTTTGCTTTAGCTTCCACATATGAAAAGAAAACATTTGACCCTTGATTTTCTGAGTCTGGTTTATTTCACTTAGTATGATGTTCTTCATTTCCATCCATTTAACAGCAAATGTCATTATTTCATTCTTTATGGCTGAGTAAAACTCCGCTGTGAGTGTGTGTGTGTGTGTATCTCATCTTCTTGATTCGTTCATCTATTGGTGGACACCTCTGATGATTACATAATTTGGCTATTGTGAATTGTGTTGATATAAACATTATAGCAGCTGTATTACTACAGTATGTTGATTTTAATTCTTTTGGATAAATACCAGAGTAGGATAGCTGGTTCCATTCCTAGTTTCTTGAGGAATCTCCATACTGCTTTCTAGAGTGGTTGTATTAATTTGCAGTCCCACCAACAATGTACCAGTGTGCCTGTCCCCTAACATCCTTGCCAGTATTTATTATTGTGTTCTTGATCATTGCCATTCTGACTAGAGAGAGGTGAAATCTGAGTGTAGTTTTGGTTTGCATTTCTCTGATTGCTAGAGATATTGAACATTTTTTCATGTATTTGTGAGCCATTTGTGTTTCTTCTTTCAAGAAATGTCTATTTAGTTCTTTTGCCAATTTATTGATTGGTTATTTTTTCTGGCATTGAGTTTTTTTGAGTTCTTTATATATTCTGGATATTAATCTCTTAACAGAAAAGCAACTGGCAAAGATTTTTTCCCATTCTGTAGGCTCTTTCTTCATGCTTTTAATAGTTTCCTTTGATGTGCAAAAGTTTTTTTTTTAACTTGATGGCATCCCACTTATTGATTCTTGGTTTTATTTCTTGAACTTTAGAGGTCTTGTTGAGGAAGTTTGTACCTATACCTATGTGATGGAGTGTTGACCCTATGTTCTCTTCTAGCAGTTGCAAGGCAAAAGACAACAAACAAACAAATAAAAATATTTTAAAACTGTACTTGTTTCAAGTAGGATATTCTGAAAACACTGTTAAAGTTTCAAGTTGTTTGCATTTATTGAAATTGCAGCATGAGTTGTGTGCACAACTGTAACCTAGCAACTCAGGAGTCTGAGGCAGGAGAATTACAAATTTGAGTCCAGCCTCAGCAACTTAGCAAAGCCCTCAAGAACTTAGGGAGACCCTGTGCCCCCTCCCCCCCCCCAAAAAAAAAGAGGGATGGGGCTTTATAGCCTAGTCATAGAGTATCCCTGGGTTCCATTCTCAGTACCAAAACAAACAAACAAACGAAACAACGAAAGTGAAGTGTGATTATCACTGAATACACATCTCACACAAGTGGAGAGAAGATCCAAGATATGTTAATATGTTAGAGAAAACAGTCTTCCATTCCTCCGTGGGTGAGCTCAACCTCCAAGATATTATCTTATGAGGAAATCTAAGAGGACCAACTATTGACTATACAATTTAAGTAATTAGGAGGCAAAACGAAGCCTTTGTCTCTTGTAAAAAATCTTGTGTTAAAGAGCATTAGAAACAACTGTGTATATAAATCTTGTCTATGAGGACATTCTTGAGATTAAGATTTGGGACTATTTATTCCTCTTCAGTTTCGACAGAGCTCATGGGTGTGTGACATTTCCTTCTGCTATTTCCCATCCCTTTCCAAATATCCAGCCCATGCAACTTTTATAAGAGTTGTTATGATATTTCAAGGTTAAGGTTATGTAATAGAGTGATCCATGTTAAGTTAACAACATAGGTATTTAATATCAACTAATATTTCCAACCTACTACTCATAAATTATCTGAGAAGCTTGTGGTTCCAATGTGTTTCCTCAGCTGGTGCACATCACAATCTCATATATCACAGCAGGATAGATAGCATAATTTCTTGGTATGTTAAATTGGTTTGCCAATAAAATTTTTAAATTAATAATATTTGTTTCATTGACTAATCCAGGCCAAGAACAAACCCTTGGCAGAGTCTACAGTGACGAATAAAGTAGAATTTTCATTTTTTAGGAGTGTGAAATGTGGTAGCCAAGACAAGCATGCCAATAAATCTAAAACAACCTTGCTAGGAAAGCCAGTGGGGACATTTGTTGAGCAGACCCTATGAACCATCATCCTATTAAGGCTTGTGTTAAGTGAAATAAAAAGGAGCAAGTAAAAGGCTAAACAGCACAGATCCTGTTGTCAGAAAGTGACTTCATGGAGAGTATGGGATAAATAAGTCTTCACCCTTAAAGAAAGCACAGTTTGAAAAAAATCATTTCTGTCATAAACTCTTAGGAAAAGTTTCAGGGACAAACAATTTTTAAAAAATGAGTTTGTATCTCAGTAGAGAAATCAAGGCTAAAGATAACAACTTAGAATCAACTGCCTTGGAGAGAGAATGAAAAATGAACTGGTTTGGAGTGTAAGTTGGAGAAAAGCCGATAGTGGTTGAAAAGAGAAGTATGATCTCTCAAGATCACAGAAAGTAAAAAGAAAAGCAAGAAACAGGAAAAAAATAAAGCATTCTACTTTGGTCAAAGAAAGGATACCTGTAGAGCATGGGCAGAGAAAAGGAAAGCTAGAGAGCACCATAATACAGAGCTCCCAAACACCAGTTTAATATATATGTCTTAGCTTACCTTTATAGAGAATGAGGGAACCAATGATTTTTCAGTAGAACATTTAGAAAGTTAAAATGGATGAAAACAGGATATACTTTGGAATGGAGCAGAGAGAAGCTAGGGTAACAGGGAATGATTGAAGCCATCCAGGTGAAAACTAATGAAGCCTGAGATGAGGAGAAATCAGAGAAATACAATTTACTTATCAGAAATAGAGATAATGGGATTTCTAGAAAGACTAGATTAAGAGAACCAGGGAAAAGACACGTGATGACCTCAGGTTCCAAGCCTAAGAGAGCACAAGAATAAATTAACAGAAACAGTGAGATAGAGAGAAGATGGCACAAGGAGGATGATAGACATTCAGTTTTAGTTTCACGGACAAACAATGAAAAAAAATGAGTTTGTACCTAGGTAGAGAAATCAAGGCTAGAGATAACAACTTAGAATCAACTGCCCTGGAGAGAGCATGAAAAGTGAACTGGTTTAGAGTGTAAGTTGGAGAAAAGTTGATAGTGGTTGAAATGAGAAGTATGATCTCTGAGGATCACAGAAAGTAAGAATAAGGCAGGAGGAGAAACACAAATGGGCAGAGGAATCAAAGCAATTCAAGGAGGAAAACAACAATAGCAAGGGTTATAAGGTAATTGGGGAGAAGATCTCTTCAGCTGTTGTATCATAAACACCTCTCCTGAACCAAGGTATTTCTATTTTAAGAAATGTTAACCTACCATAAATGCTCTCATTCTTCTATTTTAACTCTTAAAATAAAGTCTATCAATATTTCTTGATTCATTTCTGACTCTTGGAAATTAGTCTGTATTAAAATCTCATTACAATGTCTAAAGTTGAACAAAGTTTCCATAGCTGTCATTTGTAAGTAGGTATCCTTCCTTTCAAGGATAGAATGGCATATGCATTGTATAAAAAGGAAAAATAAGAGCGAAACATAAACTACAACTTTTTTTCTTATAGTCTGGATTTAGTCCAATTGATAGCAAACATGGATTTGGTCCTAGTACAAGCTGGCTTGTGTCCTCACAAAATTCACATGTTGATGTACTATTCTGATGTAGCTCAGATGTGGGCTAATTAAGAAATAGCAATGTGGCAGATGTAATTAGTTAAGATTAAGTTATGCTGGAGCAGGATGGGCTTCTAATTCAGTATTACTGGTATCCTTATAAAAATGGTAGATTTAGACACAGGTACACCCAGGAGGCCACCAGTGAAGATGAAGGCAAAGACTGGGGTGCAGTAGCAGCCAAGGAATCCCCAAGGTGGCCAGCAAACCACCAGCAGCTAACAGACAAGCATGGAATAGATTCTTCTTAATAGCTCTCAGAAGAACCCAACAGAAACCCAACTCTGCTGACTTCTTAATCTTAGACTTATACCCCCCAGAACTGAGAGGCAGTAAATTTCTGTTCTGTAAACCACCAAGTTTGTGTTACTTTGCGGTGGCAGCAGCCCAGGCAAAATAATGTCCTCAAACAAGTCAGTTACCAGTATATTTTCTCAGCTGGTGCACCTCACAATCTCACCACAGAAGACAGAGTAATAGCTCACCCTTAGGAAAAAAATGTATTCACCTAAGCAGTTTAAAACTGTCTTATTTTCCAATCCACTTTATTCCCCAGAGAAAGCAATTTTTTGACTAAAATATACATTGAAAGACAGTTTAGAATAAATTCCTGCCCCTATCTGGACTGCTTAGTCTTCTAAACAAATCTAATAATAGAACTGGCCGATCCACAGGGATTGGCAGGTTGTATGTACCATTGGACCATCAAGGAGTTTCATAAAAGTGAAGCCAGGTGAAATTGCCCATTAGCAAGTGAAGACTCTGAATAGGTGTTTTTAACTGAGGAAATGATTATGATTTCTGGAAATGGACTGTTAGTGTTGTCTTTTGATATTCAGTGTTAGTGGGAACAAATTCCAGCTGCTATTTTATAAAGTGGTTTTTGTATAACTGTAGACATTTATAACTCAGCATTGGTGTCTTTGGCTTGGCAAATGATTCTCTCTATGCAGTGGAAACATTTTCTAATGGTCAAGTTGCTGAGTGGATGGTTTCCATGGCAGAAACACCTCACTCTGGGGCCACTTTAAGTGCTTTCAGCATTATGCATCTCCATTTACAAAACCTTTAGGAGGTCTATTCTAGAGGCTGTTCTATGGCCAAAGATTTTCTTTCTGACAAAACCTCCATATCATAGCTGACATCTGCTGGATTTAAAATATGATTTTATAAAACATTATGGAGATTTACTACTGGCAAAATATTGCTAAAACCTAATTTAAGTTCCTTTTCCCTCAATTAAAACAAAATGAAAAACAAAAACCAGGACTTTCAAGTGATGATGATCTGTAGAGTCCTCATTTTTGTAGGTGACTACTATAAAGAACCTACGAAACACTGACAAATTGAACCAAACTCATATGTTGCCTCATATATGCCTCAGATATGATCACCCAATGATCACCCTGTCTATCCTTCCCGTTTGTTCATGGACACACTCATCTCTTCTCCTTGGTTCATTCCAATTCTCAGTTCAGTGTTTTTCAGAAGTGGAGATAAGGGCAGTGGCCTTCCATTGGCAGGAAATTTCAAATGGCTGTCCATTCAGGCAATTGTTCAAGTCGGCCAAAGGGTAGAGAAGAATGGTGTGACTATAAGTGATGAGAGAGTATTGAGTGGTATCAGTCAATCACAAGTCACAACAGTCCAACTGATAATAATCCACACCTGGCCCTTATCCCTCAGCCCACAGGGAAGGTAGGCTATAGATTCTGTTCTCTTTTAAAAGAGGAAGCTGCTACCCAGCCAATTTCTGTCATTGAAAGTAAGCCAAGATGGAAATGTTTCCCAATATTCCAAGAGAGTGTGGGAAGCTAGATTTTGAGAAAGAAAACAGATCTTCTGATTTTAAGCTTTGGAAACTATCAGCTTCCTATGACTTGTAACAATTATAAGACAGGGCTTAAGAAATACAAATTTATGATCTGAACAATTCTTGAGGTCAGAAGTTCATAATGAATTTCAACTGGGTTGAAATCAGGGCATTGGCAGGGCTGCACTTCCTTTAGAAGCTCAAGAAGAGAACTCAGCTTCTTACATTTTCCATTTTCTAGAGGCTGCCTACACTCCTTGGCTTGTGGCTCTATCCCCACTTTCAAAGCCATCAGCATGGCCCCTTCAAATCTCTTTTATCCTCTCTTTTCTTGTTCCATATCCTTCTCTGATTTCCCTGCCTCCTTTCCCTTGTGAAGACCCTTGTGATTACAAGAGGCCCACTTGAGTACTGCAGGATTACCTTCCAGCCGCCATCAAAGAGGACTATGACTGTATGTTCTAGATGGTTCCCAGCTTCAAAGAGAGCCAAACGAGATTCCAGGGCTCAAAGAGTGGGAAGAACAGTTCCTGCATCTATAATTCAGGAAAGGTAAGCCCATGCCCGAATACACCTAGAGGAGGTGTCTCCATGCAGAGACATGCAGGTAGAGAGATGACGGTGACACAGGTTAGGTATTTGTAATGTTTTTCATGTCTTCTGGGATACCTCTTCACTAATCAGACCACTTGCATTTGCCTTTGACCAACAGAAAGTTTCACATATTGATTTTTGACAATATTTAGGACTTGAGGGTTATTGGTGTAAATACTAGTTTATGTTATACACCATTTCACAAATGAGCAGAATAATTTTTCATTCATGTCTAACCCATCTGAGGTCATATGTGACTTCTTTCATGTCAAGTTTTCCTCTTGGTTCCTCAAGGGTTGTCTCTGCTTTTTCCTAAGAGGAGCTTGGGCACAGATACAAACTGGCACAATGAAAGTGACATTAAGGTATCCTCATGACAACAATCTGATGGATCAGGTTACATTTCAGTTTTGTTCGAAACTTGGATGAATCTGGCAAAGACAGAATTGGCACAATGACTTTCACCATGATTTATGATCTTTCTAGGTCAAAGTTGAAGCAGGTCAGATAGGCTGAATTGGAATCATGTCAAGATGCAGATTCTTGTCTGCTGGCAAAAAGATTGTTTTCTTCTTGTTCCAAGTATTAAATATTTTACTGAGAATATGTGTACACATTGCAAACACAGTGTGAAGAAATACACTGCCTTCTTCATGGTTTTAATCCCAGCTCTTAGTATGGGCACCAGGTTTACCCTCAGTGAAGTAATAGTATCTTCCTGAAAATGTCTTTGGTCAAGACACATCTGTGTCACCCCAGGCAAGTTATTCAAACAGTTAAATAAGTTAAATAATAAATAAATATATACCTTTGGAGACTCTTGAAGGACTAAATGAAGTAATAGATGTGAATGTATTCTATAACTCTGAAGTGTCATATGAAGGTAATGAGATGTTATTACATATGATTTGAATTCAATTTTACTTTTTTTCTTTGTACCATTTTCTTTAGGAGAAAACACTCGCACATTATCTCATGAATTCTTTGGCCTAAGTGTCTTCTAAATGATTCTAATTCTTATCTAAAGGCTAATTAAGCTGCTTAGGGCCCAGGTTCAGTTATTTTTTAATGTTTTGAACTTATTTTATCAGAAAAAAAGAACAAAACTAAGTCCATATTTATATCATACAGAGTATATAACACTTGCAAGGTTGGAATCTCAATTAGAGAAGGCAGATTTTTTTATGTTTGTGGTTTTATAGAAGGATCAATTTTATAAATATCATTAAAAATATTATGAGGAGGGGCTGGGATTGTGGCTCAGCAGTAGATTGCTCACCTAGCAGGGGCGGGACCCGGGTTCAATCCTCAGCACCACATAAAAAAGCATTGTGTTGTGTCCATCTACACCTAAAAAAATAAAAAAATAAATATTTTTTAAAAATATTATGAGGAAACTTCCTATTACTAAAACAGAGTTAATTGGTTTTGATAGAAACAAGTTGGTGAGATATTTTGGAGGGAGAGGTAAATTTGGTCATGGAATAAATTTTGCCCAGGCACAAACTTACTGGTTTACTGGTTGCTGAAAACATCTGGAACACTTCAAATTTTGCATTATGAACTAGAACAATAGAGTTGTATAAAACTCTTACAATGTATTATGAAGCCAGCAAACTATGTGCTGCCTGAGTCATGAACTCTGAGTTTGGCAAAACTTAGATCATTGTTTCTTAACTCAAATTTGATTTCTTTTCAAGTTTTCACAATGAATTCACATTTCTTTAGGCTGCACATCTCCACCTGTTTTTAAGTTAATTGTTTGACTGATTTGATTGAGTGATCTCGTTTGCTCATCTCATCCTGTGTAGCATCAGTAGTTAGCTTTGTAGCTATGCCTCATAGTTACCAGGCTGACCTGGAGGAATCCTCGAATGGCCTGAAGCATGTTTAGCCCTTGGGAGATGTGCAACTTCCTTATGGAGGCTTGGATTTCTGAGAGACAGTAGTTTTTATTGTAATTCTGTCTCTAGCATTAGAGGGAGTTCAGGTGTGAGTTAAGAGAGAATGGATTTTTGGAGACCGGAATAATGGTTGTGAATCCCAGGTTGCCATTTTTTCCCCCTCTGGTGAACATTGTTGCATTACTTTATTTCTTGATATAATGGATCCTTGAAATACTTAAGGGATAATTTTGAAACATAGAAATCCTGAAATGCAAGAAATACTACTGGAGAATTTCTGGAAATTTACCATTGAGGGGAAAGAAAGATGAATAAAGCAAACACAATTTGAAATAGAGATTCCATCTTGCTCTCTGGCTAATAATTTGCTCCATTACTTCAGCTTCCAAATTGGCATCAGCTTCAAATAGATGGTTTAGAAAATTACAAGTCTTGTACTTCTGGGGTTATTAGAAAATAGCCCAAATCTCCAGTGTTAAGTCTTCAAATGAAAAGAGTCCACTGTAGTACCTACTTCTTAGATTTGCTGTAGTCATCAGGAAATGAAATATATGCAAAAGAGGATGTAGCAGAATCAATCACATTACTTTTTCCAAAGTAATGCTTGTTAGATGAGTGGAGTAAGAGAACTAGTTTTCTTTAGGTACAAATGTAATGATGATTGCATGCACTCTTTAGATATTTTTTTCTAGGATTCTCTAGACTCATTCCCTTTGGAACATACTCCCTGGGTCAATATCTCTATGTCCACATAGGGAGGAAGCCAGAGAATAGTTTCCTGTTCAACACTCTCTCTTCTCTCCTCCTTCCTCTTCTTCATTCTCTGTGAGTAGGATCTGTGCTCATCCAGTGTGTGTGTGTGTGTGTGTGTGTGTGTGTATTTGTGTGTTTGTAGGAGACAAAAATTTTACTTTTTAATATTTTCTTCTTTTTAACTAAATTTTGGTTAAAACAAGAAAGTAATGGGACTTAAAATATATATCAGAGAATTAACAAAAATCTCAGAATTAAGTTAAAAAAAGAAAAGTAAAAGATTCAACATTACTATATAGAATATATTACAGTTCATGTGAGAAGTCAGATTCTGAGCAAAAAGGAAAAAAGAAATTTCTGTAACAATCACATGTATCCCATCAATTCCTGTCAGATACATAAAAACTGAATACAACATTTGAAAAATGAGTTCTATTTCTGGTTTAAGATGGCAGATGAGGTACAAGTTTTCATTTTAACATCTATTAAAATAAAAGTTAAAGAAACATAAAGATAAACCAATAATATTTCAGGATGAATCAAAAAACAAATGATTTCAGTGAACTTCTGGGAGATTGAAAATGAATAAGAAGAATATCTTGGTGGGTGAAACAGACTAAGGAAGTCAGTTTTATAAATAATAAAAAGCTACAGGAAGACAAGAACTGATCTCTTCTGCAGAATCCCAGAAGGTCTCTGGCTTCACAGTCAAAAGCAAGAGGATGTCAACTAGAATTTCTAACTCCATACCATGTACAACCACAAGAATGGGATCCTAATTAGAAAGTTATACTCTGTGTAGTTACAATATTTCAAAATACACTCTGATGTTGTGTATATATAAAAAGAACAACAAAAAAGAATGAATAAAATTGTATAGTTTGCCCTACTTTTAAAAAATCAGATTTGTAATGAACTGCTGCTGCTGTTGATGTGGCTCTTCAGTCCCTCTGCCCCAAACCAACATGTAAAGCAAACCAGCTAGCCCCTCTTTAAATAGAACAATGTTTGTGGAAAGCAAAGACTCCTAGTCCTACCTTGCATGCAGACAAAACACATGGAAGGCTTCATTGTATTTGTAGGACAATATGCAAATATTAATAAGACTACATAATGAAAAAATTATAAGTATAGCAGATAGAATGAATAGGACAGGTAGAGAAAAGAATGATCCTCTGATATCAATAATGTGGTTTTCATTCATTCACTAGACAAATATTTTCTGAGAAGCTACTGGGTACAGGTATTGTTCTATGCTCTTGGAAAACAGAAAAAGGAAAAAACAGACAAGTCTCAACCTTCAGGGAGTTTATGTTACATTATGTCATTTGCAAATAAGGCTGCAAGAGATACTCCAAGAGCCAATGGAATGAGAAATAAAGGTTTAAACATAATATTTAAAGATGACTTATAGAACTAATAATAATATGTATTGAGAAAAGTAGAGGTAAGTGATTTAAATTATAAGCTCTCACATAAGAGATTCATTGACACTGTCTTAAGTTGATGAATCAAAACAGAGTTTGGGAGGAAGTCACCAAAAATTAAAACAGAAACAATTGAAAGACTTTGTCTCCAGGATATAGGACTGAGGGTAAGAAGAGAAGAACTGTAGAGTCATGTTTGCTTTCCATCCTAAGTTCTATTTGCTTTGTTACCACGTGCATGCATCACATTGATTGATATATATGTACATTTAAATTAAGTGACTTCTAAGAACAACTGCAATCAAAGAATGAGACCCATGTTTAATTTACCAAGTATCATCAAATTAGGCATGACATCATTAGAAACAGATTTTCTTTTAGTGAGTGCTTAAAAATAGATACCATTTTGAATCTTCTTTTGGCTATAGTGAATGGTGAGGCAAAATAATTGGTTTGTGAAGGCCCGTGCTGGAAAGGAAAGATAGAAAGAAGTCCGAGTATGTGTTAAAGCAAATTGAGTGCAGTTCATTTGGACAAGATAATGCTTTCTGTTCCCCATTGTTTACCCCTGCTTAGCCAGCAGGATCAGGGAAGTGGAGCCAGCATTTATTGAATGCTTATATTGTATTAAGTAGTTTGTATACAGGAAATCCCTGAACCTGCTCAACAACCTTATGAAATCGGCATTCGTTTCCACATTGGATAGATGAGGAAACTGAGGGTAGACACATGACGAAGCTTGCTAAAGGCAACCTTGTTTTGAAAAAGCTACACTTCCACATCAGGTTTTTCTGACTCCAAAAGTTGTGTATGATCTTTCTTCCTTATGCATTGATTTTTCCAGAGTATGCATTCTTAAAAAAAGACTAGATTTTAATAAAATTCCGTTTGAAGTTTCCTATGGATATATTCTGTTGTGCAAATTTTCATAAGTGATGTATTTTTCCTGGTGCCTGAGACATTTAGCTAGTTTGATAAATATTTCAGCATAAAATGGATAATAAAGGTACATATCTATTAATTTCCTAGTAGTTGAACAAAAATCAATTTGTAAAGTTTTATTATTTTTATTCTCAACCAATATTTTCCCTATTGCTTTATGCTGCACTCAATATTTTGCAAAATTTATCCTTGAACAACTCTTTTGGTCCATCTCATGACCAATTTCACATACATACAACTACTTGCATGTTATTTTTTTTTAATTTTTTTTATTTTTTAGGTGTAGATGGACACAACACAATGCCTTTATTTTTATGTGGTGCTGAGGATTGAACCCGGGTCCCGCCCCTGCTAGGCGAGTGCTCTATTGCTGAGCCACAATCCTAGCCCCATACTTGCATTGATATTATCTGCTGGAATGAGACAACAATTTTTCCTTAGATCCACTATCTGTCAAAAGAGAGAAGCTTAGGACTGGGCATGTAACTTGGTGATATAGAACTTGCCTGGCATGTGCAGGGCCCTGTGTTTGATCCTCAGTATGGCAAATAAGTAAATAATAAATAAACTCTGGTAGCAAATTAGATGCACACAGATTTGGGAAAGACAAACATAAGTTAGCATTTATTTCACATAGATTTTACATGCCAGATATTTTTCATATATCATTTCATTTAATCCTTTCTATAAATTTATTGGGAAGATATTTTACAAATACAAATGGAAACTATAAACCAGAGAGTTTAAGCAACTTACCCAAAGTCACAAGCCAGGTAAGTAATAAAACTATGATTTGATGTATATATGTGACTGCATGACCAATATGATTCTATAACATGTACACTCAAAGAAATGAGAAATCATATCCCATCTATATATGATACATCAAAGTGCATAAATGTCATGTTAACTAATTAAAACAGTAAAAAAAACTTTTTTAAAAACCTATGATTTGAGCACAGGATTTAAGTAGTATACTTGTCATGTTTCTCAAATTTCCTGACATAAGCAATTTTACAAGTTCTTTTTGCAGCCCTTAGGAGGTAAGATGGACTGTTGAATAGTGAAGCTGGATGTACTTTAACTGTTGATATCACTGACCTGAAATAGGCTTGCCTCTATCAATGTTCCTCTGGAGAGAGGTCCCAAGTGGGGCATTAAGGACACATTCTCTATCTTGGTTGATTTCATGTTGTTTTTATTGGAGAGTTAGAGGGGTTCGTGACATGATGATCTGTTTCTCTCAGAAGATATGAGACTGGAAATAGGAGAAGGAAAGTAAAGGAAAATGAAAATCTTTAAAAAGATGACATTCTTTTCCTCTCTAATATGATGAAATTGAATAAGAATAAAATTATAATCATGTACTTTTGTCTTAAAATTTATCTACTCAATTGTACAGAATTGCAACGATATGGCTTAATGGGAGCTCATGCAAAATCTGACCATCTCTTCAGTCTCAAGCCTTCATTATAATTTTCATCATAATAACTCCCAAATATACATCTCCAACCCAAACTAACACCCATAGCTTTAGTTCTGCATGTCTAATAGTTCAAGCAACTCATATTCTTGGAGTTGGTGATGTCTAAAAGTCTCCTCAGACTCAACATGTCCATTATTGTACTCTTAAATCATTCCTTCCAAGCTCATTTTTCTTCCAATATCTCCCAATCAGGGAATATTTCTGATATATATTTGTTAGTAAATTTAGGAGTCATCTTGAGATCTCCTTCTCTCTCACCTTTGTACTACCATCTCTAATTCTTCCTATATCATTCCATTTGAACATCTAGAACTTCAGAATTTGTCACTCTTTCACCTTCACCATTACTTATCAGCCCATGGAATCCTTATTTCTCACCTGTACTATTGCTGTGGTGTAACTGATCTCCTTATTTCTCCTCTGGCCTTCTCCAACCCACTCAACACACAGCCTGAGTGATACTTTCAAAACACAAATATGACTGGGTTATGCACACATCCACTCCCACATTACGTTTCTTTAATGTCTTTTATTCCTCTCATATATAAACCAAAATCATACCTGTTTCCCTTCCCAGCCTTGTCCCTTAATGATTTGTTTCTTCCTCTCTTCATTCCAATGTATGGACTTTCTTTTAATTCCTTGAATACACTGTGGAGTTTCCCATCACAAAGCCTTGGCATATGTTGTCCCTTCTGTCTGAAATGTTTCCTTCTCTCCATTTGCTTAATGCATGCTCATCCTTCAGATCTCCATTAAATTAGCATTTCTAGGGCTGGGGATATGGATCAGTGGTAGTATGTTTGCCTGGCATGCATGAGTCCTGGGTTTAATCCTTAGCACTGCAAACAAAACAAAATAGGACAAAACAAATTATTGTTTCCAGATGGAAGCCCTCCCTGACTCTCTAAACTAAGAACTGAGTTTCATGTTCTTATAGAAGTATTTACTTGTTTTGGAGCTCTCATCTTAATTCATAATCCAGTTAATGGTTTATATAACAAATATTTGCTGCATATTATGTGCTGGGCTCTTTTATAAATGTTGGGGATACAGTGGTGAGTAAAATAGTAAAAGTTCCCTTCTAAGGATAAGCAATGGAGAAGATAGATAATATTCAAATACACAAGTGCTACAGAGAAAAATACATGTGGGAAAGAAGACAGGAAGTGCCTATGTATGAACACAAGCATATGCTATTTTGAGTAGGGAAGAACTGATAAAAGTAACATACGAACTAGATCAGAAGGTGAGCATTGCAAATACCTGTAGGCAGACTGATCCAAATAGAGGAAAGAGTCAGGGCAAAAACCTTGAGATAGAAGTGTATTCTCCATGTTTAAATAGCAACTAGAAGGCTATCATGATTGGCACAGAGTAAATGGGAAGGAAAACTATAGGAGATGAGGACAGAAAAAGGGACCAGGTAATGTAGGGCCAGGAAGATCAATGTCAAGATCTTTGTCTTTCAGTCACTGGGAAATAATTGTGTAAGTTCAGTGAAGGATGTGATATAATCTATGTTTTTTATGGGATTAAGATGGTAGCTGTATGGGGAATAAATTGTAGATGTTGGAGAGTAGAATGAGAGATATCAATTAGGAACTTGTCTGCACTAATCCAGGCAAGACATAATGGTCGTTTGATCAAGATGGTAACAGTAGAAGTATTCAGATTCTGGATAATTTTGAAGGAATGACAACAAAATATTGGCAGATTGGGTGTGTCTTTCAAGAGAAAGAAAAAAATCAAGGATTACTTCAAGTTCATGCTGTGAGTAATTAAAAACTGGAATCTATTTATTGATAGAAGCAAGTCTATGAGAGAAACATATTTAGGAGGAAAGCCCAGGGGTCAGCCTGAGGTTTGGCTATTACTTACTAAGTGAATCAGAGAACAGATAGTTGGATCTGTGAAGCTAGAGTTTGGGAACAAAGTCAGGGTAGGGTGACCAATTCTCCTGGTTTGCCAGGAAACCAGTTTCCCAGGCAGTACTAAAACTAACAAAACTCTAGTCAAACTGGGATGAGTTGCTTGTCCTAGGTCTGAGCTACAGATTTGAATTTGTGAGTCATTTGTGCATAAATACCGTTGGCTGTAAGATTAGATAAGATCACCCAGAGAGTGTGTGAATGAGAGAAGATAATTGGTTCAAGGTGACTTGAGCATTTAGAGATGAGGAAGTTAAGAAAGAATCACAGAAAAGGATAAGAGAATGAGGAAAACCTACACCCCAGAGTGGTGTCCTCTAAGTCAAGTAAAGAAAATGTTATAAGTAATAGGTAGTAATTAACTGTGCCAAATATGGATGATAAATAAAATGAGGATGAATGGATCACTGGATTTCACAGTATGGGATCATTGGTGACCTTGAAAAGGGCTGTTGTCATGGAATTTGGGGAGCAAAACTTTGGCTGTAATAGGGTTAAGAAAGAGGAATTGTGACATGTGGTGTAAAGGAGAATGGAGAAATAGGGAAGCAGCTAGAGGGAGAAGTAGGGTCAAGAGGGTTTTAGATAAGAAAATAAGTACCATATTTATAAGCTGTTGAGAAGTACCACCAGAATAAATGCTATAGGAGAGAAATGGAAGAATTTCTGGAGCACAGACCCTGTGCAGACACTCAAGCAGATTTAGATAAGATCACAGATAGTTTATGTGGTTCAGATAAAATTAGGCAGGAAGAACTTAAGTATTTTTCTGATTGCCTCTATCTTTTCACTGAAGAGGGGAAATTAGGTCATTAGACAAGACTGGCAGGAGTGGAATGGGGCAAAAGTTCTGGAAGAAATTTAAAGGGGTGGGGAGAGAGGGGCAGATGAGTATATAACTCCCATGTGGAAAGTAATGGATAGTCTGGTGACATGAGGTTCAAAGCTGAGAGAGGGAGAAATACTTGGGCAATTTCAGTGAAGGATGTGATATAACCTATGTTAGTGGCTCATATAACCCCTTACACATAACCTAGGTTATATGTTTGTGTAGAGGTGAGAGGGAAAGGAAGAAAAACATTTAGAAGAGGAGCAAGGAGACCACACTTCTTACTTGCAGGCCAAGAGATAGAGCGGTCCTGAGATAAACAGACAACATGTGAGACATCCAGAGAGGAAACGAGTCCTCAGGGAAGACGTGACTTTCAGTTGGAACACAAGATATTAAGTATTTTAAGGCACAGTGAATGGGTTGGAGGAGTTGATGATGGGGGTGTGAGTTCAAGTCACAGCCTTGAGGGTTTGTGTTTATGGAATCTCATAAGAGGCCTAAGCTTTTTATGCTGACTGAAATAAACAGGGGTAAAATATTGATAGTGGTAGAAAGACTGAATCTCTTGGGAGGGAGCTCTGGAGGCCCCTTTCTTTTCCCACCAATGAAAGAGAGCAGACGAGGAGGGGACCTTCAGTGAGCATGAAGGGTTCTGGGACCATCTCTTCACTCCTGCTAACCAAAGATGTTTCCCCAGGTGTTCTCAGTGTCTGTCTCCCCCACTGGATGATGAGCTCCCTGAGGGCAGGAACTCTTTACTTTTGCATTTCCTCTGTTGTGAATGGTGCCTGACACACAAGAAGTGTCCAATAAATTTATGGTGAACAAATAAATAAGGAAAGAATAGAAGTCTGTGAGGTTCATACAAGCACTGGTGTGACGAGGCCTCCAATTAAAGGAGACAACATCCAGAACAAACAGGGTAGTGATCTCCCTGCTCCTGGTTGGGTGTTGTGTATCTACAGGACTCCATCCATTCACTTTTTAAAAATGTTGGCGAGATGTGCTGGGCAATTTTGTTTCTCAGAGAGATAATATTTTATCTTAGATTCCGTCAAGAACCGAGGAGATTTGTTGTAAAGATAATTGTAGAAATAAGGCGATAGAAATTTCATGGAAATACAAAAATAGCCCAAAGTATGGGCCTCATGAGGGATGAACCACACTTTGGAAACTAGGTTATTTTGTGACTCCCTCAGTGTCTGAAGACAGAGGTAACCCTCCATCTTAATGTTAATTCAGCTCCTTTCTGTCTGCTTGTGTGGCTTTTATCACTACCAATCAGTTATATTTCCCTTGTCCTAAAAATATTTTTTTCTAATTCATGCTTGCTGATGGTTTCTTCATATTCATTATTTCTGCTAAGCTGTGCAATAATGCTCTGTGCATTTTAGGCTGATATTCCTCATCTTCCCCCTTTATAACCATCCAGATATTCCAAAATCACTTTGTATATCTCTCTCAGTACTTGAGTTGACCCATTTGACTTTCTTTCTCTATTTGTGGCTTTAAAAAAAATGCTTCCTCAGTAGTTTTCTGTCCTACCAGATTGTGTCTCTTTTCCTCTGTTATAGGAGGTCCCAATTTCTTATTTAATGACGACTGACCCTTTCATGGTTCCTTTTCTAAGCTCCCTAATTCAACCAGAAGGAGCAGGTAGATGTGGTTGTATCCTTTCCTTCCCATGTAAGTCTTTCCTGGCCTTCAACGTAACATTTAATTTTCCTTGTACCAACTAAGATCTTAATCTTTGGTTTTAGGAAATCTGTCTCATTCTCCAGGTTAATCAGCCTGTCTTCCTCAATTTTGTTTCCAATCTTCTTCTGTTCCTTTTTTTAATAAAGTGAAAACACTTTTTAAACCACTCAAGTTCCTATTTGATTTCTTAAGCAAATCTACTTCTAGAGGAAGAGTGTTGTGCACGATATTTTAGTTGCCTTCTTAGCCTTTGGGTTTGTGTTGATTTTCATGTTCTTTCTCTACTTCAGCCCAAGATCCATATGTATATCTAAATACTTATTAGAGACCGATGTACAGCAGGAAGTTCAAACTGATCTTCCCTTTTATATCCTTTCATGTTTCACCACCACCTGACCAGAAACTAAAGCCCCAAATTTGTATTTATCTCCCACTACTTCCCCCTTACCCTTACTCTACATAATTAATAGTTGTCTAATATTAAATATTTCTCAAGTATGCCTCTTCTCCCCTTCCGATTGCCATTCCTCCAATTCAGGTTCCTGCCATCACTTGCAATCAGTACGATGACATTATTGGAAAACCTGCATTGATGCTCCACCTCTCTAATTCCTTCTTCATACTGTGGAGGGATTTATAAAGTATCAACCTAGCTATTCACTTCTTGGACTTATAACTTTTTTTTTTTTTTTTTTTGGTTTCGGAGATTGAGCCCAGGGGCCCTTAACCACTAAGCCATATCCCCAGCCCTTTTTGTATTTTATTTAGAGACAAGAGTCTCACTGAGTTGCTTAGGGCCTCATTAAGTTGCTGAAGTTGGCTTTGAACTTTCAATTCTCCAGCCTCAGTCTCCTGAGCCACTGGGATTATAGGCATGTACCACCAAGCCTGGTGGACTTATATCTTTTAATGGATATCTATTACCTTCAGTATAAAGTTATCATTGTATAATAACTATAATTTGGCCTCTGACCCCTTGTCTGGCCTCAGATCCCTAACTGTACTCCATTCTATTGAACCCTCATTCCATCAATAATAAATGATTGGCAGATACAAATTTGCCACATCCTTTCATAACTTCCTGCTGATGTGTTGCTAGATTTGTCATTATGCCCTTTTGTCCATGGTTAATCTGGCAAAATCTAGTTCCTCACTCTTGACTCCATTCAAACAGCTCTCACTCATGAATATTTACTTGGTTTGTCCAAGGGAAACTGAGTCCTTCCTAATGCCATTCTTCCCTTTTTTATTGTACTTGTCCCATTGCAACGACTAGTCTTCATATTTCCTTCCTTTTAGACTGAGAATTCCCTAATGGCAGCATCTACCTCTTATTATTTTTGTGTCTCATGGAGTGAGCAGAGCACCTGATCCTTCACAG